GACGGCATTTACAGGAAATTGTCGGCAATAATAGGTGAAAGAGAGTAGAGAAACATTAAGAATTTGGTAGTAAATAGATTTCGTATTTATTTAGCAATATTTTATTGAAACGCTCCAAGTGCCTGTGCTCGTATAGGGATCAACGGACGGACAGACGGATGGATAAATGCGTGCGCGGTATAGAAGTGGAGGCTTGTGTAGGTATTACGATTGATAGCGGGTTACGTGCTTGGCTGAATAGACGAGGAGATGTATTGATGTTGATGACATTTTGAGTGATAGATAGCTAGCAGAGAATTGATCTTGAGATAACCCTCACTGTGTACGTGCACGCGGTGTTACTGGTCGTACGTGGGTGGTTTGCTTGACACAACCATCCGTCACAGCGTTTATAACAGTTGACAGCAGGGACGGTGTGTGTCTACTTCATCTATAGAGCGATTGCCTTTGCCTCTATACAGTCTATAAATAACACTATATTACACGGTCGGTGTGATTTCTCTGATCACTGCGGTACCCCCACCCCCCACCTCCACCCACCCACACCCACCCACACCCATACACTGTCAATCTGTCGGGCTGTGGTACAGACCTCCCTTAGCCCGTAGTTGTGGGAATGCAATACATATTAATGTGACCATGGATGTCATCGCATTGGCACGCGACAAACCGGCAATTCTCTGAGGAATAGTGGGGAACTCAATTAAATTCCATTCTGTTGGCTGCGTCGCCTAGTAAGTGACTATAGCGGCCGGTCCCACGTACATATAGATGCAGTGGAGCACTCAGCTAGCGTATTCCGACTGCCTTCCTCGCATAGTTGGCGTGGGCAAAGTTAATCATTCTGCCATGCGTGTTTTATCTCGCCCCGGTGTTCTCAGGAAGGATGCAGCAAGAAGAGTTATTCTAGACTCGGCGGGAGTAGCAGCAGCAGCAGCGGTTAGAACGCGCGCACAGCAGCAGCAGCAGCAACAGCAGCAACAACAACAACAGCAGCAGCAGTAGTAGCAGCAGCAGCAGCAGCAGCAGTAGTAGC